TGGAGCTACTGCTGGTGCTGAGGACTCGGACGGTGGAGCTGCTGCTGGAGCTGAGGACCCGAGCGGTGGCGCTGCTGCTGCTGCTGAGGACCCGGGCGTTGGAGCTACTACTGGTGCTGAGGACCCGACCGGTGGAGCTGCTGCTGGTGCTGTGGACCCGGCCGCTGGAGTCTCTTCTGCTTCTGGAGACGCTGCGCGGCCGCGACCGTACTTCGTACCGCTCCTTCAGCAGGTTCTTGGGCAGGCTCCTCCTCCTTGTCCTCCTCCCTCCGTAGAGTGTCCTCCGCCTGTCCAGCCGCAGTCACAGTTACCGCCTACCTCGCCTCTCCCTGCTCCCTCTCCTTACACTGGTCCCACAGGAGGTCTTACAGAGCGTCGTGAGCCTGAGTCTCGTCCTGCGTCGCCTGTTCGTCCTGCTCGCACTGGTAGTCGTGTCCGTCGTGAGCGTCCTCCTCCTGTCCCAGGCACTCACTACATGACTCTGCGTCCCTCTACTGCTCCTCAGCGTGTCCCTCTACCGTCTCCTCCTGCGTCCTCTTTGCCTGACGTTCCGGACCCTGAGTCTGACCGGTATCGTGCTGAGCACCCTACTGTCACGCGTCTTCTCGCTACTGTTGTCACTGACCCTACCTTTGAGTCCTCGGCTGCGTCTGCTCTGGTCGCTGAGTTGGTTGACTTTGCTGCTGCCTGTCGTCTAGACTACGCTGCTAGCCTTGTTGCTGAGTCTGAGTCTGAGTCTGTCTGTCCTCCGTCCGTCGGGGGTGAGTGTGCTCTTGGCACGGACGTCCTTGAGGACAGACAGGAGGAGTTCCAGTGTCTTGCTGCTGCTTTGCCCCGTCTCGTGTCCTTGCTAGTTGCCCCTGAGGGAGACCCGGATGCACCAGACATCCCGACCCCGCGCACTTACGCTGAGGCGATGGCGGGTCCCTACTCCTCTCAGTGGCAGACAGCCATGGACGCCGAGATGGCTTCCTGGAAGTCCACACGCACCTACGTCGACGAGGTTCCCCCTCCTGGGGCGAACATCGTCAGTGGCATGTGGATTTTCAGGGTGAAGCGGCCGCCGGGTTCTCCGCCTGTCTTCAAGGCGCGTTACGTGGCTCGAGGCTTCAGTCAGCGAGAGGGAGTTGATTTCTTCCAGACCTTCTCCCCCACCCCGAAGATGACTACTCTTCGGGTGCTGCTGCACATAGCCGCTCACCGCGACTACGAGCTTCACTCACTTGACTTCAGCACTGCCTTCTTGCAGGGCAGCCTGCACGAGGAGATCTGGCTGCGCCGCCCACCGGGCTTCACTGGGTCGTTTCCTCCTGGTACCCAGTGGAGGCTTCAGCGGCCGGTCTACGGTCTCCGCCAGGCTCCGCGTGAGTGGCACGACACACTGAGGACGACACTTGCGGCTCTTTTGGTTCGCGCCTTCTACAGCTGACCCGTCGCTGTTCCTGCGCACCGACACTTCGCTGCCGCCGTTCTACATCCTCGTGTACGTTGACGACTTGGTCTTTGCCACTGCTGACACTGCAGGACTCGCCTACGTGAAGTCGGAGCTGCAGAGGAGACACACGTGCACAGACCTGGGTGAGCTGACAAGCTATCTTGGCTTGCGGATCACCCGGGACAGAGCACGACGCACCATTACACTGACTCAGTCACACATGGTGCAGCAGGTCCTTCAGCGCTTCGGCTTCACGTACTCCTCGCCTCAGTCCACTCTTCTGCCTCAGAGGCCTACAGGTCACTCGCTCTCAGCTCTGCCTTCGGATGAGTCTGTAGAGCCGAGTGGCCCGTATCCAGAGCTTGTGGGCTGCCTCATGTACCTGATGACCTGCACTCGACCTGACCTTGCATACCCTCTTAGCATCCTTGCACGCTATGTCGCTCCTGGCCGTCACAGGAAGGAGCACATGGATGCCGCTAAGAGGGTGTTGCGCTACTTGTGCAGTACGTCGGGCATGGGGCTTGTGCTTGGAGGGCGAGACCGAGTTGTTCTCACAGGGCACTCAGACGCTTCTTGGGCAGACGACCAGGCCACTCAGCGGTCGTCTCAGGGTTACACCTTCAGCCTTGGCTCTGGCTCAGTTTCTTGGCGCTCTACGCGCTCTTCTTCTGTTCTCGGCTCCAGTTGCGAGGCTGAGATCTACGCTACAGCCATGGCTGCCTAGGAGCTACGCTGGCTGACCTACCTGCTGACCGACCTCGGAGAGCGGCCTCGTTCTCCTCCAGTACTGTACGTCGACAACAAGGCTGCCATTGCCTTGTGTGAGGAGCACAGACTGGAGCACAGAACAAAGCACATCGCCCTGCGGTACTTCCTTGCTCGAGAGCTACAGCAACGGGGTCAGCTCTGTATTCGCTACGTGGCCACTGAGGCCAACACTGCTGATGTGTTCACCAAGGCGCTTCAGCCTCGTGACCATCAGCGCTTCTGCACTCTACTAGGCCTTGTGCCTACTGGACCTCACTTGCTTACCTCTTGACTTTGCTTGTACTGTGATCACTATATATATCTATACCTGCATGTTTACTCTTGCTAGGTTGTGATCACTGTATCTCTTGCTCTGTTATAAACCTGCATGTGAACTGGTCTTGTGACCACTAGTTTGTGCTCGGAATTTGTGTGGAACCTTGAGATCCACCCTGAGCTTGTTGTTGCCTTGCTTTGCCTTGACTGGTCTTGTGACCCCTAGGTCTCTCCCACTTTGCCTATGGGGGTGTGTCAAACATTATACATGTTGTATTTGTGTAGGCTGTAGTGGGTTAGCCTATAGGGGGGTCACAACATTAGGGTTTCATATTTGTACTCACAATCCTTGCTAGTCCATCATTCCTGTCTCTTCTTTCTGACAATATGTTTGACACACCCCCATAGGCAAAGTGGGGGAGAACAAGAGGTCACAAGACCAGTCAAGAAAGGCAAAGCAAGGCGCAGGCAAGGCACGGCAAGGCGCAGGCAAGGCAGGGCGCGCGAGTGGAGCGCAACGCATGCAAGGCAGGGCGCACGCGTGGGGCGCAGTGCAGGCAATACGTGGGGCAGCTCAGTAACGCAACGGTAGGTGGGCCTGAAAAAAACGGTCCTACGGACCTACCGCTCCTATACCATATCAGAAAGTCTAGGCAGGAATGAATGAACTAGCAGAAGGTTGGGTACAAATATGAAACCCTAATGGGGTTGTACCCCATATTGGCTACCCCACTACAGCCTACACAAATATAACATGCATATATGTTTGACACTAGTGTGCGAGCTAGGCTAGTCTAGGCTAGGATACTATACCTACTCATGATACCATCTTAGAAATAGACTGCAACGGAATGACGAGAGTCGAGAGATAAAGGCAGTACAAGCACTCCAACCTGATTGTGTTGTACTCATTGGAGAGCACCTTATTAGATACTATACAAATAATAACATTTGGCATGTGCTTGCTGTGCTCGTGCGATGTCATTTTGCAGGGACGTGCGTTCTGCCGTCAGCGCCGCGATTTCTTCAAAACTTTCGCGAAGTTGACGCAGCAGGTCGTTCAAACGGTCCTGCGTGAGGGTGGTGACGTCTATGTGTTCAGCCATGGCGAAGGGCGCCGGCTCGGCTTAGTCTAGGCGCAATCGTGGCTGCACTCGTTTACGAGAGAACGCAGGGACAGCGGCTCCTAGGGGCTAAGGTGCGTGAGTCCCTTCGAGTGAAAAGTCAGAAGTTGATTTCCTGGGGTGCGGAGATGCGCGGTCCGAAAGGAAAGGAGCTGTGAATACCAAGTGTTACGAGTGCAATGGATCGAGGTAGCGAGGATTGCACTAGGCCGACACGGCCGGGCCAGCAGTGCGAGGTTTGGCAAAACAGTGTACGCGAAGTTGGCGAAGGCCTGTTAGCAGTACCGTGTTTACCCGGGTAATGGACCCTCCGAAATTATAGACCCCCGGGTTGTTAAATGGGGGGGGGTCTAATGCTATATGCACTTTCGTAATAGACCCCCCCTTTTGTAACGAATCCGGATAAGACCCCCCACATTGTAAACGCCTCAGATTTTAGCGGGGTTGTGGGAAGCGAATTTGACTGCAGCGAAATTTGACTCTGGAATTTGACTGGACTGCAGGATTTGACTGCTCGCGTGCCTCGCGTCGGTCAATATTCCCTGATGCAACATTGAAATTTTCGCTTCTGGTGCTGGAACACTGGTAATGTACATGTCTTCAAAATTTGAAATGCGCATAGGATAAGACCTCGGGTCCATTAAATTTACACCCACTTAATAGCCCCACCCCCCTCTTTTTTCCGGGGTAGGATTAGACCCCCGGCTTTATTGCCCGGGTAAATACGGTAACTGGCGAACAACGACTGGTGCTGTACGCGATGTAGCCGGACTCCGTAAGGAATGGAGAGTAGAAAATTCCTACACAAGCTTAGTAACGAATTTCCATATTTATTACACTAAGATTTGAGGACACGTCAACTCCTGCTATCCTGCAATATCGATCGTCCACCGTACTGAAATCCCGCATTTGCTTCCAGAAATTATTAGAACCTCTTCTAACCAAGTCAAATAACGATCCTGCGCAGGATCGATCGCCGAAATATGCCTGAGTCGACGCGTCCTAATCATAATTGTTCCCGATCACCAACTTGCTCTGAACGAACACGCACCATTCACGTTGGCGATCATTCGATCCCATTGCAACGAGCGATCCACCCATCATACATCGCTCACCACGCCGCCACGAGCTCGCGTCGCGTCGCCGTCGCTCGCTGCGCCCCGTTCGCCCATTCTCGCTGCCAGCCTCTGCCGACGTGCGGCATCGCCATGCCGCTCCTCTTCCTCCTCCTGCTCCTCCTCCCCCTCCCGCACTCCGCCGCTGCCGTGGGAGGCAGCGGCGGGGCAGCAGCGGCGCGCCTGAACGGGCTGGCGGAGGACCCGCTGGCGGACGACGACTCGTTCGCGCGCCTGGCGGAGGCGGACAAGCGGCGGTGGGCACAGGGCGCGGCGGAGGACGCGGGGCTGGCGGCGAAGATGCGGCGGCTGGCGGAGGTGGAGGTGGCGACGCGCGTGCACGTGCGGCTGGTGGGGTTCGACGGCGACCACGACGACAACAGCAACCTCCGCGTCTCCCCGGTGAGGCAGGGGTGTGGGGGGCGCTGTGAGCTCCGCGCCACGCCGGTGAGCGCGCAGGGCCGTGATCTCCGCGCTTCCCTGCGGCGGTGGGAAGGGGGAGCGGTGAGCGGGGGGGGATGGCAGAGGGAGCAGATGCGGGGCCGAATGGAGGAGGGAGAGAAGGAGGGAAGGGGGGCGTGGAGGCGATTCTGCATGGAGTGATGCGCGGAGTGGCGTGAGGGGGGGGGGGGAATGGCAGTGGAGGAGGCGAGGGGGAACAGGGACGGGTTGAACTGCAAGGAGGAAAACGAAGGTGATGGGCTGCTTTGCCTTGCTGCCGTCCGCGTCTGCGCGCTGCCACTCTCACCGCGTCTGCATCCGGGGCGGCCATGCACGTTCCCTTGCCGTGCTTACACCACTTGTGCCGCCACTCTCCCTCACATGCGCTCTCCCTCTCCCTGCTGCTGCCCTGCCATGTGCGTGATTGGTGTGTGTGTGTGGGGGGAAGTGGGGAGGGGTGCGGTTGCTGTTTTGCGTGTGGGGGTGATTTTTGTGTGTGAGGGGGTGGAGCGGGGAAGGGGGGGAGAGGGTTGATGTGCGTGTGTGGGGGTGATTGGCGTGTGCGGGGGATTGATGTGTGAGGAAGGTCATTGGCGTGTGTGGGGGTTGACTGGCGGGTGATTGGTGTGTGTGGCCTGGTGTGAGTGAGTGCGCGTGTGTGTGCATGGGCCAGGAGGAGATGACCAAGTTCCTCAACACGCTCAAGCCAGACACCGTCTTCCGAGCCATTCACGGCGAGGTACGGCATTCACGGCGAGGTACGGCATTCACGGCGAGGTACGGCATTCACGGCGAGGTACGGCATTCACGGCGAGGTACGGCATTCACGGCGAGGTACGGCATTCACGGCGAGGTACGGCATTCACGGCGAGGTATGCGTATGTCACTCCTGCACCGCATGCATGCTACCACATCCTCTTCCTCTTCTGCTCCACCATCCACTGACCCATACACTGCCCCATACACTGCCCCATCCACTGCCCCATCCACTACCCCATTCACTACCCCATTCACTACCCCATTCACTACCCCATTCACTACCCCATTCACTACCCCATTCACTACCCCATTCACTAACCCATTCACTACCCCATTCACTACCCCATTCACTACCCCATTCACTACCCCATTCACTAACCCATTCACTACCCCATTCACTACCCCATTCACTACCCCATTCACTTCTCTCTACCTCTTTTGCCTGCACATGCATCCACGTGTGCATGCATCACACATGCATACACACTCTCTGCCTCTTTTGCCTGCACATGCATCCACGTGTGCATGCATCACACATGCATACACACTCTCTGCCTCTTTTGCCTGCACATGCATCCACGTGTGCATGCATCACACATGCATACACACTCTCTGCCTCTTTTGCCTCCCCCCAGTCACACGCGCTGGCAGTGCGGCAGCGCGTGGCATTCTCGGTGTCGCGCGCCCCCAGGCGCCTGGCCTCCGCCATCTCCGCTGACATCTTCCGCTTCGTTGGCCGGGTGAGTGGGGTTCTCGTTGCGAGTGGCGCTCTCACACACATACCCCACTCGCGCGCCCAGGTTCTCGTACTCACATGCACCCGCACTCACACTCTCACGTCACATGCGCCCAGGCGCCTGGCCTCTGCCATCTCGGCTGGCAAATTCCGCTTTGCTGGGCGCATGAGGCTCTCTCTGTCACACGCTCTCACACTCACATGTACTCACACGCACAAGCACTAACACGCACCCGCCGCTCCCGCACTCACACTCACGCCCACTCACACGCACCCGCGCTCACACGCACTCGCACTCACACGCACCCCCACTCACTCGCACCCCCACTCACTCGCAACCCCACTCACTCGCAACCCCACTCACACGCAGGGGCACACAGGGATATTGAGAGAGTGTTGGGTGTGAAAGAGCAAAGTAGAGTTGGAAGAAGGGAGAGTGTAGTACCAATTGGTGAAATAAGTGATCACAGTAGTCATCCAGTGGCACAAATGTGTGCTTGCTCGTGCTTCCACCCATGCCACGCCACTCCACCCATGCCATATGTCGGCCCTCCATGCCATATGTCGGCCCTCCATGCCATATGTCGGCCCTCCATGCCATATGTCGGCCCTCCATGCCATATGTCGGCCCTCCATGCACCCTGCACTTGCGGTTGCCCCTCACATCCCATGATAGGGGTTGTGCCACTCTCATGTGCACCCCAAGCAAGGGGCATAATGATGTTCTTCCCCACCCCACCTCTCGCTCCTCCCACTTGTATGGCAGGCCATGGGGCGGGTGGCTGAGGGCGGGGTGGTGCTGCTGCCGCACTCGCTGGTCGACACCCACGTGCGCGCCGACGCCGCCACGCTCACACCCCCCGCTGCTGCTGCTGCTGCTGCTGCGGGGAGGGCGAGGGCGCGGGGGGGGGCTACGCGGTGTACGTGCTGAACCCGCGGGTGATGCCGCGGCGCTACGCGTACTCGTATGGCAGCCGGGGGGACACCGTGTGCCCTGGCACCACCTTCCATGACGAGGTCAGCTCACGCGCTCATGCATACATGCCGCGCCCACTGCCTGCGTCCATTGCCACCTGCCTGCGTCCATTGCCACCTGCCTGCGTCCATTGCCACCTGCCTGCGTCCATTGCCACCTGCCTGCGTCCATTGCCACCTGCCTGCGTCCATTGCCACCTGCCTGCGTCCATTGCCACCTGCCTGCGTCCATTGCCACCTGCCTGCGTCCATTGCCACCTGCCTGCGTCCATTGCCACCTGCCTGCGTCCATTGCCACCTGCCTGCGTCCAAGGAGAGAGGGGGGGGGTAGAGGTAGAGAGGGTAACGGGAGGCGGTGCACCAAGGATGCTATCACGTGACCTGGTGTGGGGATACCGGGTGAGTACAGTGCGGGAAGGGGGAGGACGGGTCGGTGGCGAGGGAGAGGAAGGGGGGGAGGGGGGGCACTAGGAGAGGAGTGAGCGGGGGAGGCAGGAGAAGACAAAGGTTCCGGGTCAAAGATGTCACCAGATGAGGGAGGGGTACCGTGGGACTGGGACGGCGGAGGGGGGGGATGGGAGGATGGGGGGAGGAGGGAGTAGTGGGGGAGGGGTGGTGTCAGACCAGACAAGGGGACGGGTGAGAGTGGGGAGTGGGTCAGTAGATGTGGGAGAGGAGTAGTAGGGAGTGGACTCGTCAAAGACCACATCCCTACTGCGGATTAGACGACCGGATGGAGGGTGGAGGAAAAGGTAGTCGGGGGAGGAGGGATTATGACCAAGGAAGATACAAGGAAGGGTACGAGGGGCAAGCTTTCCCATGGAACGGGAGCGGTCAGAGGGGTGAATGATGACATGTGCCTTAGAGCCCCAGACACGAAGTGATGAGGCATCAGGGTTGTCCTTCGTCCACAGCTCAGTGGGGGTGGTGGATGGAGGGGAGAAGGGGGTGAGGGTAGAGGTTAGTAAGGAGGGCGGCATGAAGGAGGGCGTAGCTCCAAAGAGAAGGGGGGCAAGAGGCGTGGACAAGCAGACACCGGGCTGTTTTGGTGATCTCTCGAACACGACTCTCAGCCACACCGTTCTGCTGTGGGGAGTGAGGGAGGGTGTAAGTCTGAAGGATGCCACGAGACTGACAATAGGAGGAGACTTGGTTGTTAAGGAACTCACCACCTCCATCAGAGTGAAGGCGGCGAACAGGGCGCCCAAAATGGGTGTTTGCCCGCTCGAGCCAGGCGATGATCGCAGCCGGGGCATCCGCCTTCGTCCGAAGGAGAGAGACGGACGAGTACCGACTGTGATCATCAACAAGCACGAGGAGGTAGCGATGGCCCTGGCGAGTGGGAGAGGGATTGGGTAGGGCTCAGAGGTCCATGTGAACAAGATCAAGTGGCTGCGCAGCAGCGGAGGGGGAGCTCCGGTGCGGCTGCTGCTTGAGCTTGCTCTGAACGCAGACGGTGCAGGGGGGTGCAGGGGATTTGGGGAGGGGAGGGAGGGAGGAGGGGAGACCGTGGAGGAGACCGGAGGATACAGAGGAGCGCAGAGTGGCGAAGTTGGGGTGGGAGAGGGAGCGACAGGAACAGTCAGAGTCAGGAGGGCGTGGGGGGAGGGGTGGGTTAGTGGGAGGGAGGGGAGGTGGGGGGGGAAGGAGGGGGGGGGAGGCAACTTGGAAGGTGAGGGGGCGGGGAACCCGAAGGGTGTACAGACGGGAGCGGGGACAATAGGGAATACGGGCGAGAAAACGACCTGTGGAGGTTTGGTATAGGTCACAATGGTTAGCACCACCTGGGATGAGAGTGGTGATCATGGCTTGTTGGAGGGACCTTTGGGAGAGGAGGTTAGTACGAAGGGAGGGAATGTGGAGACCGGTGACAGTACCTGAGGGAAAAAGAGGACAGGGAAGGGTGGAGGTGTTGTGACAGGGGATGGAAAAGCTGCTATCAGCGCCGAGGAGGGAGGTTGGTGTGGGGAGAGGGCGCAGTGTACCAGCGTCACGAAGGACAGTGTCAGTGGCTCCACTGTCCAGAACGAAGTCAATGGTGGAGGAAGGTGAGGCAGAGTACTGGAACGACGTTTCATTAGCAGAAGAAGGGTACATGGGAGATGCAACAGATTCAGGTTGACCTAATAAACCAACAAAACCAGAGGAAGGGAAAGCGGTCACACTGCCACCTGCAGACGGCGCCGGGGATGCACCCGAGAGATGGGCTGCAGAGGCAGCACTCCCAGCAGTCCAGGTAGGAAAGGGCTGCTGCTGGGAAACCGGAGGAGGAGGAGGGAGGAGGGGCAGCTGCGGCTGGAGGTCGAGCTGCTGCTGGAGCTGCTGAAGCTGCTGCTGGAGCTGAGAGAGGAGAAGTTGCTGCCCATACTGTTGTGACCCCTGCTGCTGATTCCCAAGCTGCTGCTGCTGTTGCTGCTGCTGGTGCTGCTGCTGGGGAGGGGCGAGGGCCTGGTGGGCGTGGGTGGAGGAGGGAGGTTCATAGAGGGGAGAGGAACGGACCTCAAGGGGAGTGGGGCGAGGGTTGAGGGCGGACCAGCGAGGAGGGGTGCCGGTGTTGCCACGGGCAAACCACTCATCACTGAGTGCCTTGAAGCACGTCTCAGTGGCATGGGTGGTTTGGCCGCAGCGCTGTCCCTGAGTGGGACCGTAGCGAGGCAGGTACTGACAGGGAGGAAAGGTAGCTGCCGTACCACGACCCGCACCACTGCTGCCAGTACCACCACGTCCTGCTGATCCCCCTCGTCCACCCCCACGCCCACCACCACGCCCACCCCCACGCCCACCACCATGGCCACCCCGGCTGCTGCGCGACTGGGATGCTGCGGCTGTGGAGGAAGAGTGGCGAAGGATCTCAGCTTCGGTGGTGATAATCCACTGAGCGACTTCAGCAGGGGTGTGGTGCTTGGAGATAAGCTGCATGTACGCAAGCTTGTGAGCGTCGAAGGCAGGTGTCAGGCCCTCGAGGAGGTGGCAGCAGATGACGGTGTCAGCGCGGGTACACCACATCGAGTGCTGCAAGGCGCCAAGAAAGGTCTAAGACACGGCGAGTGAAAGCAGCTGCGCCAGAAGTGGAATCCATGGAGAGAGTTCCAAACTCCTTGATAAGGGCGTAAAGGGTGGCAACGTCCTGCCGATCGAAAAGGTCAACCAGCAGTCGCCACAGGTGGGAGGAGGAGGTGGGTGAGAGCTCGCGTTTGAGGGAGGAGGGAATGGTGGCGAGAAGAATGGCAAGCGCGCGTCGATCAGCAACCCGCCAGGCAGTAATTTTCGTGGTGTAGTCTGCAAGTTCTGCAGTGTAGGTGTCCAGGTCCTCCTGGTACTTGTTGTAGCGGGCAGCGGCGTCGTCATAGATGCGCCTGTCGTCCTCATAACGCAATTGCAGGCGCAGGTGCTCTTGGAGATTAATGCGGTAGGTGCGAATGGCGGTTTCCGAGCTCTGTGGGTCGTTGACATTCGGCGCAAAGGTGGGAGGATCACCGGGGGGAGAGGGCTCGGCACCAGGGTGGGCGGGGGCAGGTCCAGTAGGAGCGGTGGGGGCCACGGGCTGAAGTCCACCGCCTTCCTGAAAGACAACCGAGCGAAGGTTGTAGCCGCTGACCACAACAGAGGAGAGGAGCACCTCAACGGAATGGGCATAAGAGTGCCAATTAGCCGCAGAGTTGTCAGGCAGCAACTCGAGTGCGTCAACAGTGGCAAGGTCGACGGAGGAATCGGACGACGATGCCATAGAGATGAGGGTGGGTAGAGGCTAGGGCAGGAGGAGGATGGTGCGAGGGTACCGTTGCCAGTGCTGCTGCTGGCCCTGCCGCCCGTGCCGCTGCTGTATCTGCAGCTGGTGCCGCTGCGGATGCTGCTGCGGGTAGGATGGGAGGAGGAGGAAGGGAGGAGCGGAGGGTGGGGAAGGTGGAGGAGGAGGAGGGCGATGCTATGGGGGATGCAAGGGGGAAGGGTGCTGCTGGTGGTGCCGCTGCAGGTGCTGCTGCTGGTGCTGCTGCAGGTAGGATGGGAGGAGGAGGACGGTGGAGGAGGAGGGCGATGCTATGGGGGAGGCAAGGGGGAAGGGTGCTGCTGCTGCTGGTGCCGCTGCTGCTGCTGCTGCTGGTAGGATGGGAGGAGGAAGGGAGGAGCGGAGGGTGGGTTGGGTGGAGGAGGAGGAGGGCGATGCTATGGGGGAGGAAAGGGGGGAGGGTGCTGCTGGTGGTGCCGTTGAGATGCCGCTGATGATGCTGCTGCGGGTACAATGGGAGGAGGAAGGGAGAGAGGGGGGGGGGGGGACGAGGAGGGCAGCCGTGCGGCAGATCCGCGCGTCTGGGAAGCCCGTGGCGAACGCACGCGGGACAGCCCCGGCAAACGAGCGGGACGTGCAGAGATGGGCGCGAAATGGTCAGATTTCAGCGCGGGAGATGCAGAGCTGGTCGCGCGGAGTGCAGATCTGGTCGCGCGGAGTGGAGATTTGGGCGCGCGGAGGGAAGATCTGGTCGCGCGAAGGGCGGATCTGGGCGCGCGGAGGGCGGATCTGGGCGCGCGGAGGGCGGATCTGGGCGGGCGGAGTGTAGATCTGGGTGCGAAATAGTCAGATCTGGGCGCGGGAGGAGGAGATCTGGTGGCGCGGAATCCAGATCTGGGCGCGGAATGATCAGATCTAGGCGCGGGAGGAGTAGATCTGGTCGCAGGGAGTGCAGATCTGGGCGCTGGAGTTGCAGATCTGAGCGCGGGGAATGCAGATCTGGGCGCTGGAGTTGCAGATCTGAGCGCGGGGAATGCAGATCTGGGCGCTGGAGTTGCAGATCTGAGCGCGGGGAATGCAGATCTGGGCGCTGGAGTTGCAGATCTGGACGTGCCTTGGAGGGCAGCGCCTTAGGGGGCGCACGGGGAGGGAGGACAGGGCCTAGAGGGCGCGTGAAGGGAGGGCAGCTCCGTGGGTGGGGCTAGATCTGAGGAACGGGGAGGAGAGGGTGGCCTAAGGACCGAGGGAGGAAGGCGTGAGCCATTAGCTCTGGATACCATGTTAGAAGAGAGAGAATTGATACACTGAATAATGAGCCAAAAGGCTCTTTAGTACAAGCAATGAGCAAGAGAGAGATGAGAGGGAAGCTTACCCTATTGGCCAATAAGTTGGCCAATGGGTGAGCTTGCTTGTGGGTCAAGCAACCACAAAATGTGTGTTGGTTGGGATTGGTTGAGGTAAGGACCAATCCCCACCAACCACAAAATGTGGTTGGAGGGTACACTAACCAACCCCCCAATTTATAAGACTGCTACACATCTAAGTCTAGCCTATGCATGTTGTATAAAATATGGAATTACAACACCTGCCTGCGTCCATTGCCACCTGCCTGCGTCCATTGCCACCTGCCTGCGTCCATTGCCACCTGCCTGCGTCCATTGCCACCTGCCTGCGTCCATTGCCACCTGCCTGCGCCCATTGCCACCTGCCTGCGCCCATTGCCACCTGCCTGCGTCCATTGCCACCTGCCTGCGTCCATTGCCACCTGCCTGCGTCCATTGCCACCTGCCTGCGCCCATTGCCACCTGCCTGCGCCCATTGCCACCTGCCTGCGCCCATTGCCACCCGTGTCCCTGCTTTGCGTCCCCTGCACCCGTCACCAGCACTCCCTTGTCTTGCCGCTCATGCTCCCTTCTCCCCGTTCCTTTCTCCCCTCCCCTCGCACCCGCCTCCCTCCCCTCCCCCCATCCGCCGTACAAGTGCAGCGGTATGTGTGGGTGGACCTGACAGCGGGCCCGGTGAGCTACGGGCCGGCATGGGAGGGGCAGGGGGCTGTGACTCCCGCCGCGTACCTGCGAGCAGAGCAGTACAGCAAGGAGCTGCTGCACGGGGTGAGAGCACATGGGGGATGGGGGAGCACGCCTGCATGTGTGAGAGCATGTATGAAATGGAAAATCGAACATGCCACGTGCCACTCACAGCAACCTCATATCACTGCACACACCTCCTCCTCCCTTTGCACGCATCTGCTGCCCTCCCCCTCGCTCCCACTCACCCAGTCACATCCCACCATGGCAGCGCTGCTCTCCCCTTATAGTGCCCGCAGGCGGCCACTGGGAGGGCGGCAGCACTGCCACCCACTGCTGCACTCACGTCCACTTCCCCCTCCCTGCCCCGCACCTGCCTCGCTCCTCCCACCCTTGCAATGCTCTCCCCCCCCCACAGGCATTCCTAGCGCACGTGGCAGTGCTGGTGGACAGTGCAGTGCGGCACGTGTTTGTGCCGCCGCTGCTGCATGCGCCCGTGGTGTACGCGGTTACCACGGACATCTGGCTCATCGCCATGCGCAGTGGTGGCGCCACGGGTGACGAGGACATGGGGCTCGATTTGAGCGCAATTAAGGTCCAGGTGAGTGATGCGCGCCCGTGGTGTACGCGGTGACCACCGACATCTGGCTCATCGCCATGCGCAGCGGCGCTGCCAGCGATGGTGACATGGGCTCGACCTCAGCGCCATCAAGGAGCAGGTCAGCCACGCCCTGCGTGCAATGGAACGATGGTGGAACGCATAGTGTGTGCATCGTCCATTCATGGGTGATGGGGTGGGGCGCGTGGGGCCAGGCTCTGTGCACCCAACACACCGTTAATGCGATTCCTTAATCTCACCTTTTGTACTTGCACTTTTTATATCCAAGTTTGTGTGTGTACACTCACATCCCAACCAAACCCAAACGTGATCTCCAAGCAATCTCCAACCCACCAATTGGAGATTGCCTTGGGATTACCCCCAATCCCTAGGAATTGCCCCCCAATTCCCTCCCCATTCATACCTAGCTCATTTCTGGATGTACTTAAGGAGCTTCGGGCTCCCCGATTCTAAGCGCCATTTCTCTCACACACCTCACCACGGACCTGCCACCACCCCATTCACCTTGCCTTGTCGCTCGTCGCCATTCGCTCCTCATCTAAGGCCTCTGCCGCCCCACCCTGCATTCGTTGTGCCCACTCTGCTCGCCGCATCTCCACACCTCCACCCCTCCACCACTCCAACCCCTGACCCCTGCATTCTCTGCTCCCCATCACCCCTTCACCCGTGCAGCTGCTAGCGCGCTCGCCACCGGTGCTGCTGGCGGGGCAGCAGGTGCGCTTCAAGCAGGTGGAGCTCTCCCTCGCCACCTGCTCCTTCTGCTCCACCGCTCTGCACCGCGCCATGCGGGTGCGCTCCCCACCCACACTGCTCCCTCTCCTCTCATGCCTCTCCTTCCATCCTTGTCCTCTTTGCTTCTTTCATCTGTTCCCGTCCACAAACCTGCCCTCTACTTAACCTCACCTCCTCTCCTCCCATCTTCCCTTCTCTTGCCTCATCACCTTTCCTGCCACCTTGACAGTCCGGGCTGTATGAGGCCTCCGTTGGTGCCGCTGCCAGCTCAGCAGCAGGCGTGCCAGGTGGCATGGAGGTGCGGCGCCACCTGGACTCAGAGGATCTGCACCGCCACCTGTCGGAGTTCTGGCCTGAGATCACGGGTGAGACGATGCCTTAACACATGGAATGTGCTGTGGTGCTGACCTGAGGGCGGATATGCGTGATGGGCGTAGATGGCTCTGTGCACGCACCGCCTCACTCGCACCTCCCCATGCCCTTCTTCCCTACCCCCATGCGCACGTGCCATTGGGGCGTGCAGAGCTAGCCGGCCTGCCACTGCCGGACTATGCGGAGCGCAACGACCCAACCCGCATGCCGGGCGCTTCTTCCCCGTCTTCCTCTTCGACCTCCATGACCCATACCCCCTGCTGCTCGATGGCCGCCACCGGGTAATGCCCATGGCACGTGGAGGGTGGAGAGTGGGGGTGCAAAGGGGTACAAGGGGGGCCAAGGCATGCGGTAATCTCATTGTGCAATGCACAGCTTTGTTTCCAAAGTGCTGCGATTCTCTCCTCCCTCTGCCCTATGTTTTCTCGCCATGGTGCCACCATGCCCGTCTCTCCCCCCCCACCCGTGACCCCCATCCGCCCCTCCACCCCCCACCCCCATCAGGCGCTGGCATATGACGACATGGTGCTGGCTGTGCGCACCACTGCCCCGCCGCTGCCCTCGCACTTCATGTGAGACACGGTGTAGGAGAGGTGGGGGGAGGGGGGGCATGGGAGGTGTGGGGGGGCATGGGAGGTGTGGGGGGGCATGGGAGGTGCGGGGGGGCATGGGAGGTGTGGGGGGGCATGGGAGGTGTGGGGGGGCATGGGAGGTGCGGGGGGGCATGGGAGGTGCGGGGGGGCAGCGAGGTGCGGGGGGCATGGGAGGTGGGAGTGGGGATGGGAGGTGGGAGTGGGGATGGAGGTGGGAGTGGGGATGGGAGGTGGGAGTGGGGATGGGAGGTGGGAGTGGGGATGGGAGGTGGGAGTGGGGATGGGAGGTGGGAGTGGGGATGGGAGGTGGGAGTGGGGATGGGAGGTGGGAGTGGGGATGGGAGGTGGGAGTGGGGATGGGAGGTGGGAGGGGATGGGAGGTGGGAGTGGGGATGGGAGGTGGAGTGGGGATGGGCGGTGGGTGGGGATGGGAGGTGGGAGTGGGGATGGGAGGTGGGAGTGGGGATGGGGATGGGAGGTGGGGAAGGATGGGCCGTGTAGTGCAAGATGGTCACACTGCCATTTTTGTGATTCCGTTGCCCCACCTCCTCTGCTCGTCGTCCCACCCCTTGCTGCATGCGAGCCACACCACACCCTGCCTGTCCCACTACCACCACCCCCCCCCCCCCCCCGTGTGCGCACCAGGTGCGAGGGCGAGGGGGTGGACGTGGATCCCAGCAACATCACGCGCCCCGTGCTCTCCGCCATCCTGCAGACTGCCTGGGGTGTCGCCCCCCACGTACGCCACCTCCCCCCTGCCGCCCCTGCCGCATGCTCGCCCTTTCTCGCCCCTTTCTTTCCCCTGCTGCCTCCCAGCTTCCCTCGTGCACATGCCAACTTGTGTGCTGCCCGCTCTGCCCTCACGCACTGTGCGAGGGCCATGCACTCCCGCTGCCAGGCACGCACCTTAATCTCCCCCCATCCAACCCGCATCTTCATCGACTTCCACCCACACTGCACCTCTTACCACTTCCCTGCATCTCCCACCTCCCATCTACCCTGTGCCATGTGCCCTGCGGCATGCACCCCACCAGCCACGAGGCATGGAGCGCCATCCACAACGCGTCGCAGCAAAACTACCGGTGGAGCAGCGGCATCACGCCCATGGGGCCCTCTTCTCGCGCCACACCTCACCACACCACAACGATGAGGGACACACGGCGCTGCGCAACGTGGTGCTCTCCACACTCAACTCCACCATCGCCAGCACCATGCACCTCCTCTCCGCGCTCCAGGTACCCCACTTCTCTTGCCTTCTCTCCTCCCCATGCCTTCTCCCCATGCCTTCTCCCCTTTGCATTCTCCCCGCTCCTTCTGCCTCTCCTCTTCTCTCCTTCTCCCTTCACCTTTTCCCCTCCTCGTCTCTCCTCCTTCATCCCCCTCCTAGTCTCCCTCCCTCTATCTTTTTCCCTCTCCATTTGGTCTGCCCACTACTCCTTACCTCCCAAGCCGCACCTCAACCCAAAGCGTCACTGCTTTCCTCTTTCTGTGCCGTGCTTGAACGCCTTCTCATTCTCCTCCCCTCCCCTGTCCGCCCCCTCAACCCCATACCACCAGAGGTACGGGTCGGAGGAGGCGGCGCTGAAGCCGGGCGGCGGTGAGGCAGCGCTTGAGCAGCGCTGGGGGGTGCTGCGCCACAAGCTGCACCGCGCGGCTGCCGCGCTGTCCTCGCTGGACATGCACTTGGCGGGGTACTACGCGCAGTCGGCGCGGCATGACATGGACGCGCTGTTTGAGCTCGCAGGGCAGTCCGCGCAGGACATGCACACCTCCTGCTCCTGCTTCCAGGTACCCCCTCCCCTGCCCTCCCCTTCCCTCCCCTGCCCTCCCCTTCCCTCCCCTGCCCTCCCCTCCCTCCCCTTCCCTCCCCTCCCCGCCCCTCCCCTCCCTCCCCCCCTCCCCCCCCTCCCCTCCCCTCCCTCCCCTCCCCTCCCCTCCCCTCCCCTCCCCTCCCCTCCCCTCCCCTCCCCTCCTCTCCCTCCCTCCGCTCCGCTCCCCTCCCCCCCTCCCTCCCGCTCCCTCCCTTCCCTCCCTTCCCTCCCCCCCCTCCTTCTCCGCTCCGCTCCCCTCCCCTGCCCTCCCTTCCCTCCCCTCCCTCCCCTCCCCTCCCCTCCCCCCCCTCCCCTCCCCTCCCCTCCCTTCCCCTCCCCCCCCTTCCTTCCCCTCCTTCCTCTCCGCTCCGCGCCCCTCCTCCCCTCCTCCCCTCCCCCTCCCCTCCCCCTCCCCCCCTCCCCTCCCCTCCCTTCCCCCCCTCCCCGTCCCTCCCCTCCTCTCCGCTCCGCCCCTCCCCTCCCCCTCCCCTCCCCTCCCCTCCCCTCCCCTCCCCTCCCCTCCCCTCCTCTCCCTCTCCCTCCCTCGCCCTCCCCTCCCTCCCTCCCCCCCTCCCCTCCCTCCCCTCCCCTTCCCTCCCCTCCTCTCCGCTCCGCTCGCCTCCCCTCCCCTCCCCTCCCCTCCCCTCCCCTCCCCTCCCCTCCCCTCCCCCCCCTCATCCCCGCTCCGCTCCCCTCCCCTCCCCTTCCCTCTCTCCCTCTGCTACCTGCCTTGCCATGTCATTCCATCCCAGCCCCCACCTGTCTTCGATGCCCCTCCCTGTGTGCCCCTCGCCTCACCCCTCCCAACCGTGTGTCTCGCCGTGCTGGCAGGAGGCGCCAGTGGCGTGGTCGGTGTGGGGTGGGGTGCAGTGCTGGCGTATCTGGCATTCCTGGTGGGGCGCAACCGCTGGCGAGTCTGGCGCGTCAAACACAAACGCTTCTAGCCGCTTCCTGCCATGTGCTATGACCTGCTCCAGCTGCAAGTCAGCCACGTGACATGCCTTGAATACCCTCACTTTGGGCCCTTGTGAACTCCTTACTCGGTTGCTGGTAAAAGCTCTTGTTGTTGTATTATGATTGGAAGGTGCAGCAGTCTATCTATCTACCCACGAAGTCACAATACCGTACGGGTCCCCTGGCGTGGAGTGGAAATGGTGTGTGTGTGAGATGCATGTTGCTTCAGAGAGCGGCTGAGCTGATGCATGTGGGCCACCGTGCATGGGCGTGCAGTGCCTCTCTTCTTCACCACGCCCTGCCCTGCCCAGCCAAGTCAACCGACTTGCACCCACAATCAACCCTGCTGGCAGTCACTCGTCACTGACAGTCACCACACTTGCATGAGAGGCATACCGGTACCAACCATCCTTGTGTTGAGCGTCCTCCATGGACAAGTTGCCGTGCACGTGAACGAATGATCAGCAGCTCTTGTGCACGCGGGGAAGGGAACCCTGTCAATGAACTAGCTGAAACGAGAATGAATGAACTAGACAGGAATGTGGTTAACAGGGCCCAAATTTCAAGGGTAAAATACCCTTTTTGCCCTGATGGTAGGCCGCTTTTTGGCAGTTACCCTTGTGAAATCAGGCTATGAAAATTTTTACCCTAATGAAATCAGGATTCGTTGTAAACTACTCTGGTAACAATTTCGGTTACACTGGCTGTATCAGGGTACGGGCCCAACTACACTTTTACCGAGGATTCCGCCACAGTGCGCGCCAAGACAAAATTCACCACGGTCCCACTGGACCATTTGTACGGTATGCCCACTGGCGCGCCCACGTAGAAGCAGTGCGGCTGCAAGCGCGCTCGTGTGTTTGCTTTCATGGCATTTTACTGTGTATAGACTGTTAGCAGAATATAAAAGATTCCGTGAAAGAAACAGTGTATTGGAAAAAATACCCTGCTGAATTCAGTGTACCAGAAATTTTAGGCTGCTGTAAACAGTGTACGGAAAAAAATACCCTAACAGTCAGGGTACGGAGGGCCTACCACCCTGATTTGAAAGAGTGACCCTAAACCTATTTTGGGCCCTGGTGGTTAACCCCCCTAACCTAGGCTAGCCAACACATCACAACACATTACACAGTACTCTTCTACAACTGTCATTGGTTTATGGTAAGAATGAGAATTTCATCCAAACTACTGTACATGTTATAAGCATGGCTCACGCTATCCAGGTACCATCGCTGCCAACACTGTTAGAATCTAGAGACAAGGATGATGCATTGATCAAGAGTTGGGTACATAAGCTAACCCTAACATTGGGTTGTACCCCATATGGGCTACCCCACTAGCAGCCTACACAAACACAATATGCATAGTTTGACACACCCCCATAGGCAAAGTGGGGGAGAACAAGGGGTCACAAGACCAGTCAAGAGAAACAAAACAAGCTCAGGGTGGATCACAACGTCACCACACACACTGAGCACAAGCAAAGGGCCACAAGGCCTGTCCACATGCAGAGGTATATATGCAACAAACAAAGTACAGTGATCACTACCTAGCAAGAGCAAGCATGCAGGTATATATATATATATAAAGATCACAGTACAGGCAGAGTCTACAGCAAGTGTGGAAACGTAGGCACAAGGCCCAACAAGGTACAAAAGCGCTGATGATCACCAGACGGAAGTGCCTTGGTGAATATATCAGCAGTGTTGGCCCGAGTGGCCACGTGTGCAAGACGAAGCTGACCACGCTGCTGCAACTCTCGAGCCAGGAAGTAACGCAGAGCGATGTGCTTCGTTCTGTGCTCCAGTCTGTGCTCCTCACACAAGGCAATGGCTGCCTTGTTGTCAACGTACAGAACTGGAGGAGAACGAGGCCGCTCTCCCAGGTCGGTCAGCAGGTACGTGAGCCAGCGCAGCTCCTGAGCAGCCATGGCAGTGGCGTAGATCTCAGCCTCACAACTGGAGCTGAGAACAGAAGACGAGCAAGTAGAACGCCAAGAAACAGAGCCAGAGCCGAGGCTGAAAGTGTAACCCTGTGACGACCGCTGTGTAGCCTGGTCGTCAACCCAAGACGCGTCTGAGTGCCCAGTGAGGACCACCTCTCGCCGTCCTCCAAGCACGAGCCCCATGCCCGATGTATTGCACAAGTAGCGCAGTACCCTCTTCGCAGCATCCCAGTGCACCTTTCGGTGCCGACCAGGAGCCACGTAGCGGGCCAAAAGGCCAAGAGGGTACGCAAGGTCAGGACGAGTGCAAGTCATCAGGTACATGAGGCAGCCTACTAGCTCTGGGTAAGGACCACTCGGCTCTACGGACTCGTCCGAAGGTGGAGCTGAGAGCGAGTGACCTGTAGCCAGAGGAGTGGACTGTGCTGAGGACCAGGTGAAGCCGAAGCGCTGAAGGACCTGCTGCACCATGTGTGACTGAGTCAGAGTGATGGTGCGACGTGCTCTGTCCCGGGTGATCTGCAAGCCAAGGTAGCTGCGCAGCTCACCCAGATCTGTGCACGTGTGTCTCTTCTGCAGCTCCGACTTCACCAGGGCGAGAGCCTCAGTGTCAGCAGTGGCAAAGACCAAGTCGTCGACGTACACGAGGATGTAGAACGGCGGCAGCGAAGTGTCGGTGCGCAGAAACAGTGACGGGTCAGCTGTGGAGGGCGCAAACCCGAGAGCCGCAAGCGTAGTCCTCAGTGTGTCGTGCCACTCACGAGGAGCCTGACGGAGACCGTAGACTGGCCGGCGGAGGCTCCACTGGGTACCAGGAGGGAACGACCAAGTGAAGCCAGGTGGGCGGCGCAGCCAGATCTCCTCGTGCAGGCTGCCCTGCAAGAAAGCTGTGCTGAAGTCAAGCGAGTGAAGCTCGTAGTCACGCTGGGCGGCAACGTGCAGCAGTACCCGAAGAGTGGTCATCTTCGGGGTGGGGGAGAAGGTCTGGAAGAAGTCAACCCCCTCTCGCTGACTGAAGCCTCGAGCAACGTAACGTGCCTTGAAGACAGGCGGAGAACCAGGCGGCCGCTTCACCCTGAAAATCCACATGCCACTGACGATGTTCGCCCCAGGAGGGGGAACGTCGTCGACGTAGGTGCCTGTGGACTTCCAGGATGCCATCTCTGCGTCCATGGCTGCCTGCCACTGAGAGGAGTAGGGACCCGCGACCGCCTCAGCGTACGAGCGCGGGGTGGGGATGTCTAGTGCATCCGGGTCTCCCTCAAGGGCAAGCAGCATGGCCACGAGATGAGGCGCAGTGGCTGCAAGACACTCAAGGTCCTCGTGCCTGTCCTCAAGGACGTCCGTGCTAAGAGCACACTCACCCCCAACGGACGGAGGACAGACAGACTCAGACTCAGCGACAAGACTAGCAGCGTAGTCTAGACGACAGGCAGCCGCAAAGTCAACAAGCTCAGCAACCAAAGCAGACGCAGCAGCAGACTCAAACGAGGGGTCAGTGACAACAGTGGCGAGCAGACGCGTGACAGTAGGGTGCTCAGCACGAAACCGGTCAGACTCAGGGTCCGGAACGTGAGGCAAGGAAGACGCAGGAGGAGACGGCAGAGAAAAATACTGCGGAACAGAGGAAGGACGACGGACGACAAGGTGTGCGGTGGGGACAGGCGGCGAACGCGGACACGGAACACGACGACCGGTACGACTAGGACGAACAGGCGAGACAGGACGCGACGCAGGCTCACGACGCTCAGCAAGACTACCCGTCTGCTCAGTGTAAGGAGAAGGAGCAGGCAGCGGTGAGCCAGGCCCTAACGGAAGACCAGTAGACGACGGGAGAGTAAGAACCTGACGAAGAGCAGAGTCAGGCGGCGGCAGAGACGACGGAGACGGC